TTTTTCCTGGAACGTTGGGACTTTACTTTTATGAAATTGCAACTTTATCTGTTAATTTTACAACCTTTTCTCCCTCCTAATATTGTGAATCTATTTTCAGGAAATATTATATAACATCCTTTTTTTCCTTGTAATATTTACTTTAATCTTGTAAAATTTAGACAATTGTGTAGCTTCACAGCCTTTTTTTTCTTTAGTAAAATTGCGACTTTATTTTTATTCAATTACAAATTTATCTGGTCATTTTACATGCTTTTTGTAGTTTTTGTCTCATAAAATCTAGTCACTTTACAATAGTTTTCTATAGTAATAGTGTATCGTAATTTTCAAGTGTATCGTAATACAACTTTAAATTGCAACAATACCTGGTAACTTCACAACAATTTTCTCGCATTCTTATGACTTTAATGTCTTAAGTGTCCAAATGACAAATCAATCTGCCGATGTCAACTCCGCCCCCCTCATCGTTTTTTGACTCATTCAAAGCATGTCACGGGTTAGGAAAAGAAGGAAATAGCACATCTGGTTGCAAGTAAAACATCGTACCAGGACTTTCTTCCCTTGCATGAAGCGTACGTTGACACCATAGACGTCAATGAAGAGCTGGTCCGGGAAGGAGACTCTCTTGTTTCCGCCTCGTCGGATGTTCTTGCCCCTGACCGTGAGGGCGGGCAACGAGCTTGGTGGTGACTGGTAGTCTGCCGTCAGGATGTAGGTGTACGGGCCCTGGAAGTGATGCGTGAAACCGTCGAAGGTTCGATAGTGAGGATCTCCCGACACGCTGCACTTGTCGAACTCTACAAGAAGGAGAGAAAAGACAAAAAAAAAAGGTTTACTTTGCTCTCTGAAAATGTGCAATTGCTTTTTTCTGTCTGACTTTTATCCCATACAATAACAAGATCATATAAATCTTGTGACTTGTGAATTTTATTCACATTTTTTCTGTATGCACGACTTCAGGTCATGACAGTAATGTCATTCCGGTAAAATTACGGCCGCTAAAATTATATTTTTTCTTATTATGACTGTCCTCGTTCTATTGCAACACTTCAAGTAAACTAATGGGAAGGTCAGCGAAAGGAGGGCTTTCTTATTAGTTTTTGAAGACATGAAAACGTGGACTCACTGGCAGGCTTGCAGTAGACGTCTCCGTATTTGTCCAGGGCGCACACCGAGTTGGTTTTACAGCTGTGCTCTGAGCACGTAACTAGGCCGCCAAGGTTACAACGACATTTGGAAATGCATTTCGCCGTCAGCCATGAGTCTCCCACCTACAAAAACATAAAAAGAAATACAGTGTGTAAAAAAAAAAAGGTGGATGAACTCAAAATCTCAAGGCAATAAAGTTTAATAAAATGTTAAAAGTTGGGCAATTCAACAAAATATTTTTGCTTTTGTGAAAATTGTCTTGCCTGCATTTCACAATAAATAAATAGGAGTTGACAGAAGTGATGTCCCTTGCATTGACGTAAGTTAAGATTTAAGTAAAAACAACTCGGCAAAATGTTTCGTTGCAAACAACTTGGTTACAATTTTGTTGCCATAAACACCAATAATTTCTATTTTAAAGTTGTACCAACTTAAATTTGTGTTTTAGCCCCGCCAAAAATAGCATTTATGCTAAGTCCGGCGCATTTACACTGTTTATTCATGTGTTGATGAATGTGCACTGTCCCAATGAAACAAACAAACAAATAAATAAATAAACATCTTGGCTTTTGACAGTGTATCTTCAATTCAAAAGTTTTCCTGTTGTTTAAGTGGAATTTCCACATTCAAAAGCATGCCGAAACCAAATGAAAATGAAATGTCACCATTCTGCTTGCAGAGTAAATGTGGCATCTGTAAAGCTGAACTTGTTTATAATAGACCAGAAACAAATTGTCACTTCATTCCAACTTTATTCTTGTTGCCAAATGAAAGTTTAATCTGGTAACTGTACAGTGATCATGAAAATCTAGAACATTTTTCCTACCTAGTTGCAATTTTTTCTTCAATAATGTAACGTTTCATTTTTTCCCCAGGCGTACAATTACTTTTTCTGCATCAGCATTTTTCTGCCAGTGCGAATTTGCGGTGTCGTCCACCTGACTGCGGCGTTTGCAGACTTACATCATGGTACTCGCCGTCGGAATCCAGGCAGCCGCATTTGTCCAGAGGCACACATTTGCCGTCGCTGAGGACAAAGCCGGCGTCGCACTGGCAACCCTCCACACAGCTAGTGGGTGGCATGTGGCACCAGATGGGGAACAGGTCCGAACAGGTGGGGGGGCAGGGGGCGGTGCAGTCTGAATAATGGCTGTTCGGGGCGCACGGCAACGCTGCAAAAAAAAAAAAAAAAAATCAAAAAAAATCTTTGCAATTTCTTTTTGTAATATTTATCTGCCATCTGGGAACAACTTTTATTCTGGTCATGTCGCAATTTCATTCCTGTCAAATGACAACTTTTCCAGCCCAATTTACAAAAGTAGTCTTACGGCAGAAGGTTCGGTTCCTCCAGCTGATGGTGACCCCGGCGCTGCTGCAGGCCTGAGCATACGCCTCCACGTTGTCGCATAGCGTGGCCTGCATGCCGTCGTATTCGCACATGTCGTACACGCAGTTCCCAATGAAGGCTTCGGGGGGTACCAGAGCATGGCAGGCTCGGAAATTGTCAGACAGAAGCACTCCAGCACACTGGGACTCGAACGCAGCCTCTTCCTCCGCCGTGCAGTTGGGGTGCACGTCAGGCCGCTTGTCTGGCTGACAGCTACGACCAAAAATAGAACATAATCATGTATTCATTCATGATTACCCAGATTAGAAAATACAAAAAAGTTCATTTTGATCAAATAGGTTGTTCTAATGTTTGAATGTTGTATTTATCATAATTTATTCTGTTAATAAGTAACCAATTATTCTGTAAAATATATAAAAAAAAATTTAATGTGTAAAATAGTTTTAATTTAATGAAACCATTTTTTGATTTAATCATATTTAACAATCCAAGTATACTCTACAATATGTAAAAGAAAAAAAAGTGTAAGAGTCACATTTAATGATTCAACAATTCCTTTACTTGTATGAATTTAATCCTACCTAAGTAAACACTTAATTTCATGAAATGAGTTAAAAATGTCCATGGATATGTAAAATGTACATACAAAACAGTCGTTTATTTTATTCATAGTAAAATAATTATTTTTTTTTTCTTTTTTTTTAATATAACTATCCATCTGTAGATATAGAAAAATATTTTTTTGGGGGGGGAAGTTGTAATGTGTACACAAAATAGTTCATTCGCATGATGTATTTGCTGACCCGGGATCGCTGTCGCCCTCCGACTTCCAGCTGTTGCCCAGTTGGATGACGTCCTTGGCGGGTTGCTTGTCGGGCTTCAGGTTGTCGTCAGACATGTTGTGGTTGTAGTTGCCGCACATGCCGCACAGCTGACAAACAAAGCAGAGACACTCATCTTTCGTCACAACCACGCGATGTGGCGCTTTGGATTTCAAAGCCCACGCTATACATACTTTAAAACGTGTGTCTTAGTGCATTGGGGGTGTTATCTATAATTGGTTATATACCCACTCCCCAATGAAAAAAAAAATATATATATATATATATGTGTGTGTGTGTGTGTGTGTGTGTATTTTTTGTGCAAGTGGGGGTTATTAGTGCTAATTCTCTGTTTGTTGTCCGGGTTTATTGATTTTAACCTGAAAATTTTTTCAATGATTATTTTTCAAACTATAAAGCGCTTTTGTTTGCACAATGACTGAAAAGGTGCAATACAAATAAAGATAATTTGATTTGATTAATACAATTCCGGTTTTGCACAATTTGTAAAAAAAAAACAAAACCTACCTTATTGAAATATTGGCCGGGTACGGTGATCTCCAGATGATGAACGCCGTCGAATTTGACTTGCAGACCAAAGTTGGTGTCCAGGAGATTGTATGCGCCACTGCTGATCACCTTTGTTCCCTCCGTGTTCACGGAAATCGGCGTTCGTACCCGCCGACCATTGAGCTGCGGGTGTGGAACTCGCTTGAAACTCGACGGTTGAAGACTAGTGAGTTGCGACGTGCAAACAAGGCCTTACCAGAACTCTCCGACCCTTCTGCAGCTCAATCTGGGTGTTGTGAGGCAGGTAAACTTTGACGGAGCGGACGTAGGAGGCCTCCGGTTGGCCGCGCTCCTCGTTTTTCGCCACGATCCGGAACGGCGTCACCATACTGGTGTTACACACCTGAGGGAGGGATGGGAAGAGCCACCATCATTCGGTGCGCAGCGTCCATTTTGAGCGGAGTGAAACCGGAGTCGTACCTCAACGAGAGTGTAAGTGCAAGTGCCCATGAAGGTGTGCATCATGCCATCAAAGGTGTAGTAGTGAGGGTCTCCGGCTACGTGGCACACTCCTTTGCCTGAGCAAATCCACAAATAAAAATTGTCACTTCATCCTCATCAAATCAGAATGTCCTTTTGCATCATATTAGTGCCCTTATTCTGGTCAAACCGCAATTTTTGTTTAGGCAAAGTTTAGACTCAATTTGTGATATTGCCATTATTCATGTAAAAATTGCAACTTTATTCATGTGGAATTTGAAGTTGTATTAGTGACTTTATTTTGGTACAATTACAATGTTTGTTCGAGCGAATTTGAAGTTGTATTAGTGATGTTATTTTGGTACAATTACAATTTCTGTTCGAGCGAAGACTTTTCTCGTAAAATTACAATTTTCTTGGATATGTGCACAAAGACATTTCCTGTGAGAACATTCCCGCTAGTCTAATAAAAACGTCTGTCTTTTCTTGTAATGTTATGGACTTTATTCTTGTAAAATTCCAATTTGAACATTCCCGCTAGTCTAATAAAAACGTCTTTTCTTATAATGTTATGGACTTTATTCTTGTAAAATTCCAATTTTTGTTCAGGGAAAGAAAGGACTTCGCATTAAATTACAACGGTACAACTTTTTTCTGTTGTAACTGCAACTATTCATATTAACCATTTGCCATTTAGATGACAATGTATTTTCTCATAATATGAGCAACTTTAGTCAAGTAAAATGATAATTTAATTTGTGCAAATTTGGATTTTTCTGCTAAAACTGAAACTTTATCAGAAACTTCTTCCACATAATTTTGCAACAGTTCTCTTAAAAGTTCTTCACCTTGTAGAGTGAAGATTTTTGGGGCAAACTGCAAAGGGCTTTTTTTTCTAATTCCGGTAAAATTAGAAAGTCCTTTCCTGTAATATTAGCTTCTTCATTCTTGTAAAACTATGATTTTTTTTTTCATGCAAATTTCCTTGCAGGATTTTTGTTTCTTACAACATTGCCACTATTTTCAGAAAAACTGCTTTCATGTGAAATTAGTCTTTTCTCGTAATACAGTATTTCGTGACTTTATTGATAATAGCAATAAAAATAATATTGTAATATTTTAGTTGAGCTATAGTTAGAATTTTATTGTAATTCTATGACTTTTTTTTCCTCCCTCATAACGCTGCGACTATTTTTGTGGGAATGGTGACTTTATTCTAAAACCTTATGATTTTGGTTGGAGCAAAGTTCTGACATATTCTCGTGGGACAAATTTCAACCTCAATCACATAAAAAGGTACCGGGACCTTTGTAGGGGTATGATGGCTTACCCGTCGAGTGGCAGTCCAGCACTCCCTCCAGCACTTTGCACTCCTGCGCGGGGCTGCAGCGCCACGGCTCGCAGGTGACGTTGTGGTTGGCGTTACACTTGCAGCGCTCGGAGCAATCGGCTTCTGTGAACCAAGTTCCGCCGACTGGCCTGTACTTTCCGTTCTCATCGGTGCACCCACATTGGCTGAGCGGCACGCATTTGTCTCCGCTCAAAATGAGGCCAGGGTTACACACGCATCCCTCCACGCACGGCTGGTCGCAAGGGCCCCCTGGGCCCGCCGGGTCCTGACAGCTCGGCTGGGCGCAGGCGGACCCGCACGGGTTGTAATGACTTCCAGCGGGACATTTGAGAGCTACGTCGGGAGAAGGCATAGAACGTTACTTGCAAAAAGATACTGTAAAAATGACAACATAGTATGGTACCTTGAACTTTTCCTCTTGTGACTTCATTTTTCTACAGTTAGGATTGTCTGGTAACTTCCTGACTTTTTTTCACAAAATTGAAAATGTCCTCTTGTAAAATTATGACATTCTGGTAAAGGAACTTTACAACTTTTCCCGCATATATTGTGACTTTATTCTTGCAAAGTTACAACTATCTGCTCACTTTGACTTGTTTACCTATAAATGCTGTGATTTGCATCTATCCATCCGTTTTCTGATCCGCTTATCCTCTCAAGGGTCGCGGTCTGTGCTGGAGCCCATCCCAGCTGTCTTCGGGGCAGTAGGCAGTATTGTTCCATTAACCTGCCATGCATGTTTTTGGAATGTGAGGGGAAAACGGAGTGCCCGGAGAAAACCCACGCAGGCACGGGAAGAACATGCAAACTCCACAGGAGGAAGCCCGGAGCCGGAATCGAACCCTCTGTACTGTGAGGCCAACGCGCTAACCAGTCAACCACTGGGACGCCCTGTTAGGACTTTATTCTTGTAAAATGATGACTTTCTTTAAACCTAGCTGGGACTTTTCTTTGCCTGGGTACTTCGCAAACTTTTATTGTCATAATATTGCAACTGGTTGTTTAAAATATTTATTTATGTCTTGTAAAATTACAGTTATCAGGTAACTATGACTTTTTCTTGTAACATGATGACTCTTAAAAAGTGACTATTCTCATAAAACGGATGTCGTTCATTTTGAGAAGCAAATGAATTGTGTCCATTTCCACGAGAATCCACAGCGACGACGGCCAACTCACGGCAGAAGGTGTTGTTCCTCCACGCGATAGCGACTCCCGCCAAGGCGCACATGTCAGCATAACTCTCCACCGCCTGGCATAGGGCGACGGTCTGGCCCCCCGTAGCGCACATGTCATACACGCAGTTTTCCAAATATGGTGCAGGGGCGACAACCGAGTGACATGGCTTGAAGATACCTGAGGCCAGATGGACATGGACAATTTTGGGGATGTTACATGTGAAAATAAGCAGGGCTTAAAAAAAAAAAAAGTTATCTGCATTACCGTTAGGATCGGCAATCATGCCGCAGCTTGTCGGCTTCTGGGCTTCCTCCTCCACTTTTGGATCGCAGTCCTCATGGCCGCCATCGTTGGAACAACTGGACAACAAGTGGGAATGACATTGACAATTTTCAATATTACAGCAAAAACCATCAATTCATGATTTTCAAAAATGTAACAAAAAACAGTAGTATGGTTTTGTGCCGTTTCTGTAATATAACGTGGTACATGGGCTTCCTCTAGTGGGATGCCAAAGAACCACCTACGTACAGTTCAGTCGTATTTATCTTTTAAGTTGAATACATTTTCCATTCAAGCTTTCAGAACTGTTTGGTTTTAAACATTTTTTTTCTGTGTATTGTTTTCTCACTTTTGTGTGCCATACATTTTAATTAAATCGTTATTCAAGTATCTTTGCTTTCTTACATTTAATTACAAAAATATGAAATACACTTTTTTGGACATCAGCTGATCTACATGTAAGCCTCAGCACAAACAGGAAGTGTCCAGTCTGTTTAAACTTACTCAGGCCTTGGGTCCGGAACCTGCCAGCTGTCTCCCAGTTCATTAGTGGTTGAAGCGGGCGTCTTGTCTGGTTTCAGGTTGTCGTCTTTGGGATTTCCATTGAAATTTCCTGCCGCACAAAATAAATTTGCCTTTTATGTCAACAAAGGACTTTGATTTGGTATATTCCCGGGACGTGACTTTTCTCTCGGAATATTATTAGCAACATAAAAAAAAATAATAATAAAATAAATAAATCTGATTAGACTTTTGTGTTAAAATTAGCAATTAGCATTATCTTTTTTACTGCAATCAATGTTTTGTAAGAAACCAAATAAGAGCTTCTGTCCAGGATACACCACCAACATTGTATATATACATATAAATGTTCTTACCACATAGTCCGCAAAGCTGCCCGTTGTAGGAAGAGGGCACGGTGACGTCAGCATGGTGGTTACCGTCAAATCTCACCCTCAGGTGGAAAGACGTCTCCAGGACAACAAACTTGCCACTCAAGTAAATGTTTACACCGCCGATCCATGCAAATGGCGGGACCACCGCCGTCCCATTTACCTGCAGGCCACATGAACACTATTACTGACTTGGACAAAAATAGCAAAGCCGACAGCAATGTCAAGTCAAAAGTCGGAAAGTTGTCATTTTACGTCTACACAGTTGTAATATTAAGATAAACTTAAAGAAAGACTGTTTTATTGTAATATTTACAATTCTCCTCCTAAAATTGTGACTTTTTGCAACCACAGGTAACAACTGACAGGACACATTTCGTAAATGTTTTTGCGTAATCCTCCTCAGCTAACTGACAATCAAACGGGGATCAAGACAACATGCACCTGGACAGTTCGGCCCTTGCCGAGGATGACGGTTACGCCATTGATTTGGACCACAACGGCCCGTACATAGGAGACCTTCTTGTTGCTGCCCCTGCGCTCATTCTGGGTGTCCACGCTGAAGTACGGCAAGCCGGAGGACGAAGCGTTGCAGGGCTTGGTCAGGGTGTACGAGCATGCTCCCATGTAATGGTGGGTGCGCTTGTCAAAGGTGGTGTAGTGTGGGTCACCGGATACCGAACATATACCATTTCCTGTTCCGTGAAAAATTATATTCAGATTCCCACAGTATCTATATTTCCCCCCCAAAATATGAATTTGTTAGTAACATTGCAATTAACCTACCCAAAGGACGACACTGGTACTCTCCATCATGCAGCTGGCATGTCTCAGTGACGGCTTTGCAGCTGCTGTTGGAACAGCGGATCACGCCTCCGTCTTGGCACATGCATTTCTGCTTGCAGCCCTCCAAGTACCAGCCGTCGCCCACCTCGTACACAAAAAACATCTCCATCACGGACTCTACGCAAGTGCCATTCAAACGCGAATGTGTGTGTGTGTGTGTGTGTGTGTGTGTGTGTGTGTGTGTGTGTGTGTGTGTGTGTGTGTGTGTGTGTATGTGTGTGTGTGTGTGTGTGTGTGTGTGTGGGTGTTGGTGTGTGTGTATGTGTGTGTGTGTGTGTGTGTGTGTGTGTGTGTGTGTGTGTGTGCGCGGGAGTGTCCACACTGTGGAAAGCGGACACGACTTACCGGATGGTACGTCCCGGTGGTGTCGAGGCAGCCGCAATCTTTGAGCGAGACGCACTTGTCATCGCTGAGGATGAAGCCCGGGTTGCAGGCGCAGCCCTCCACGCACACGTCGCCGCAGCCGGGCGCTCCCACCACGCCCGTGCACGTCTCCGGACACGAGCTCACGCACAGAGAGTACGAGCTATTGGCGGGGCAGTCCAGGGCTGTGCGGTACAAGTGCAAATACGCTCAAAGGTGAGAGCAAAAACACAAAATATCTTTTTGGTGTAGTTTGATCTTCTGTTTCGATTATTTACACTACATAATACATTTGTAATGTTTTAAGACAAACACTTATTTTTTTGATGATCCAAATATTCATTTACATATTAGATTTTTTAAAAACCTGGATCCATTTTGATTTATTATTTCCAATGTTTTTAGAGCGCGCACACACACACACACACACACACACACACACACACACACACCACAACAAACATATATACCTGTATTTTAATTTATTTTTGTATTTTTCATATTCATTATATTAGACAGACAGACAGACAGACAGATAACCCTGTTATGTGATGCACTTGTGGCAGAGGTATTTTAAGGCTTGATTCCATTATTGTTATTATTACCCATTTCGTTTCAAGCATGTTTTCAGGCTGGGCTGTATCTTTTTTTTAACTTTGTATATATTATGAGCCCTTGCTGTGGGTTAAATGTTTGCTGTCACAGGCTTGGTGAGGACTTACGACAGAAGTGGGGGCTCCTCCACTGGTGGACTTTGACTCCGGCACTGTGACAGGCCTCCGTGTAGGCTTGCAGCTGGTCACACAGTACCTGCTGCTGCCCGTTGAACTGGCACATGTCGTACACGCAGCTCTGGAAGAAGGGGGTGGGATTCACCACTCCGACGCACTCCCTGAATGACGGGGGGGAAGTGCAGATTAGGCCCGAATTCCAAAAAACAATACAACGGGTGTGTCTGTTTTACTGTAGAGCAGAGTGCAGCATGGAGAACAATAATGGTAATGTCATTTGAGAGATATGCGGATCGTGTGTCCTAAACTTTATGGGTGGATGCTGATAACCAAGGTTGCGCTTTGATCTACAGAAACCGCCCCCCGAAAAAAGTCATCCTAACACATGAACTCAAAAATAACGTATAAAATAAATGACCGTGATCTACAAATGGAACAACAAAACAACTTTAAAAATTAAGCAACTCACCGGAAGGGTCCAGCTGTATCGTTGAGTTTTCCACATTTCTCTGGTTTGACTACCTCGGCCTCAAGCTTGGGATCACATTCTGGGTCGGGCTTGGTGCCTGGGGAACACCTGAGTAACCAAATAAGTACAGTATTAAATACATCAGCAGGCTATGTTATAATGATATTAAAAAAAACAAAAAAAATCACAGTGTCATAATGATAGGCAAATGAGGTTCTAAAAAAAAAAAACTTGCGCTATGTCGAGTTTGTAATAGTACAATACATGAAAAAAAAGATAAAGGATAATGTTATAAGTTAACGTAGGAATCGTAGTATTCTGAGGAAAAAAATGTTTTGAATAATTACAAGAAAAGCCATAATACCTGAAAATAGTCATAATGCCGAGAATAAGTTGTTAATGTTAATCCTAATAACTAATCAGAAAAGTATCAGAAGGTGAGTCGGACAAGAATAAAGTTGTAGTGCGACAAGAAAAATGGGATATCGCAAAATAACGTCATAATGTTGCAGTAATCAAGTCCTGTCTGTCGTGGATATCATCAAATAAAATAAATAATGTCATCATGTTAACAACCAGAATGAAGTGAAACTTATAATAGCAGAAAAAAGTTGAAATAATACCTGAAAAAAGCCTCACACAAATAATGTTGCAATGTTACCAGGGGGGGAAAAAACGTGACGGATGTGTCGAATGTGTTATTCTATTCTTTTTAATTGTTCTCATCAATTTAGAAATACTATGATTGGTCATCATATTTCTGAATGCTAAAACTTACGATTCATCCTCGTCTTCTTCCGTCTGCCAGCTGTTGCAGAAGTCGTTGACATTGACAACCTGAACGCCATCTGGCTTGGCAAAGTCATTGTTCGGGTTCCCGTCCAAGTCGCCGCACAGACCGCACATCTGGTCGTGGTAGGAGCTGCCGAAAAAAAAAAGCAGGATTAAGAGATGGAAACCTCTTTCCCGGGCTCAGGAGTGCACAAATGGCCAAGAGTAAACGTGCGCAATGATTTTGAGTGATAAATGATAATCAACGTTACGTAAGAGGACTACCAAAACAAAAGTTCATTGAAAAATCCTATTTGAGTTTTTCACTGGTAAAAATCCCACTGACCAACCTTGGTACTGAGATCTGGGCAAAGTGGTTCCCATCCCAGCGCACTTGGAGGCCGAAGGACGTCTGCACCGTGACGTACTGGCCGGCACGACTGACCGTCACCATGGGAGACGGGGAGTGAGGTAGCGCCACACGCAGGCCGTTCACCTGTGAGGATGCAGCGAGGAACGTAGCACGGTGTTGGTACAGCGCTGTGTTCAATCACAATATCGCTGTGCGTTACACTGCCGACTTTTTGTGCAGCGTAGTCACTTGTCTGTCACGGAAATCTTGCTCAATCTTTGTCTTACAGAGATGGTTTCTTACATGCTGATTAAAATGCAGTTTTAAAAAATGTAAGTAAAATAATGAATATCCAAGCAGCCCCCTGGGATTTTCCATTTTCTTCGGCTCTTATTGGCTAGTCATAACATGCTCAAACTTTTTACAAGCTCTTTCAAAAAAAAAAAAAAACGTCATCAAAAGCAAGACAGCGAGCGCTTTTATTCCTAAAATCCATTTACCGGTAATATTATGATAAGGTAGTGACACATTAAGACAAATAAAGGTTATCTTATCTTATTATGCACAGTTTGGAACAATAAGCCAAAACTTAAATATAAGCTTGACTCTTAAACGATAGGAAATATAATGGTCATTAATATTAGTAAGCGTAAATGTTGTTAGTTGTTGAGTGGATTATTGCAGGAAAGGTGAGGAAGGTAATGAATAAATGAGGCAAAAGGAAGAAAGCACTTGACTGAGACTGACAAGAACACTGAAGCAGGATTAGCAGCGCAGCTATCGTGAAGAATAAAGTTGGAACGTTGTGAGAGATTGCCAACATGTAGGAATTAGTCAGTATTGGTGTTGTGGGTTTCAGGGTGCCGCACTGACCAGGGTCCTCTTGGCTTTCATCAAGGTCACAGTGATTCCGTCTACGGTGATGTAGAGTTTTCGCAGATAGGACACTCCTGGTAGCCCTCTTTCCTCATTCTTCCCCTCTATTGAGAACCAAGGCCCTGCACCAAAGGGATCACAATACCAATTATACGGAAGCCTCACCATTCCTTTATTAGTGTGCTCCTCAGAGGACTAGAACTGACAGTGACAATATGTAAATATTGTCATTACCTGTGTTGTTCCTACAGGTTCTGGCCAGCGTGTAGGTACAGGTGCCCATGAAACTGTAGAACCTTTTGTCAAAAGTGTTATAGTGTGGATCGCCAGAGATGATGCAGTCCTGGGACCCTTAACATTGGAATGCAACAATTAAACGGGGGGTCTTGTTCCAGAGAAAAATGTAACATCCTGGATGTTCTGTTCAATTCTGTTAAGCACATTGAGTTGCCCTGTATATGAAATGCGTAATAGAAATAACTTGGACTGCCTTGCCTTGCCCTTACCTGCTATTAATGTTGAAAGTTACTTACCCGTTGGATAGCAGCCCAGCTCTCCTTCCAGGACTTTACACTCGTGCATTGGGGGGCACCGAGATGGCTTACATGTGACCGTGGGTGCGTCACACCTACACTTCTGATTACAGTTCTCAGCATAGAACTCCTCTCCAGGCTGACGGAAACACACAGAGAATATACCAATTAATTTTCTGGGTGTATTTCACAGTACGAGAGTACAATTGCTTTTGCATATTGCGGTACCTGATAATACTGGCCGTTGGTGTGTTTGCAGCCACACGAAGTGTTGGAGACACATTTGCCAGCACTCAGGATGTACCCGGGATTACACACACAGGACTCGCTGCACGGTCCGCTGCAGGATGGGGGTAGGCCCGAACATGTCTCCTGACAGGGGTCCGCACAGGGCTCGTAATGGCTGTTGGGGGGGCAGCTCAACGCTGATGAAAAGGGAAAAGATTTTCAAGCATGAGTATATCTCAGCATCAACATGTACGATTTACTTCTAGGCAAAACAAATTGATCTCTTTGCTGTCTGTCAATCCAGGTTTCAAAGCAAACACGATGAAGCGGCATTTAGCTGTTATGCTGCAAGTAAATTGAATAATTTGCCAGCGGAAGTGAAGTCAGCCCCAAGTATTCATGCTTTTTAATTGTGACCAAAAAAGTGCTTTTGTCGCCCATATTTCTTTGATCAAAGTCCTTTAAGCATTTTCAAAATCAATTTCACTCCATGGTCTTTAGTAATGAAATTAATTATTAAATAAAGTAATTAAATCAGAAAGCTACTTTTTATTCCATTCCCTTTCTTTTAAATATCTTTGGATGTTTTGGGAGCAAATATGCTGAAATATTGTCAATAATATACAGTACATTCTTCCAGTTATTTTAACAAGCTACTTTTATTCTCTTTGCTCTGCAAAAGTCTTCAGTTGTTTGTTAATGCTGTTAGATATTGTGCTTTTGGTGATGTAAAGCACATAAAGCTGCCCTGTGTATGAAATGTGCGATGTACATGAAGTATTTGACCACCAGAAAAGATGTTTAAACAGGTTTTTTTTTTTTTTTTACATCATACAGTTCAGTTGTCCAAGTACTCACGACAGAAGGTTTCATTCCTCCACGGACCAATGTTGACGCCGCGATCCTGACACTCACTGGCATAGGCTTCAATGGCCTCGCACAGAACGGGCTTGGCGCCATCCAGTGCGCAAAGGTCAAAGACACAATCTTGGAAGTAATTCTGAACAGACACACAAGTTTGAAACTTCCCACCATAATCCAGCAATATCTAAAGATTTCAACTGGCGTGACTTACATTGGGATTGACTTTGGGATGGCACACAGCAAAAGGACCATTCTTGTCCAGCAGCAATCCACAATATGCAGAGCTCTCATAGAGACTCTCCTCTTCTTCATTACATCCAGGATCGGTGGGGTTGGGTTTCTTACACCTTTTGCAAGAAGTGGAATGTTTTTTAGCACCTCCAAGTGGGATAATTGCGAAGCGAACTGCTGTTTTGTGTACTCACTGCGGATCAGTGTTCCAGCTATGTCCAAATTCATTGATATCGCTGGTCAACGAGCCATTCGGCTGGCGCAAGTCGTCTTTGGAATCTCCGTTATAATCCCCACACAGTCCACACAGTACATTCTTGTAACTGCGGGAGACATGTTACAAGGTTCACCTTTCCCGCACTTCAAAAGGTACTATTCAGATTCCACTGTGTCCAGTTTGTACTCACTCTCTAATCACTTTGATGTCCATAAAGTGGTTTGCATCATAGCGCACAACCACACCGAAATCCATAGACACCGTGTAGTACCTTCCAGATTTGAACACGGAAACACCTGAAGCCGGAGTCACAGGCAGGTTCACTTTGGACCCATTTACCTGAAATGTGGAAAAGCAGATGAGAGCACTAAGTGAGCCAGCAGAGAGAATTCAATGATTTGAAAATGCAATACATCATAAGCGCGACTCTTGTTCACTTACAAGCACGGAGCCACCTTTGAGGACTGAGACCTTGACCTTGTGTACATCCACATGTACGGCTTTGACATAGGAGATGGAGGGATTGTTATAGCGGTTTTCGTTGTCGGCATAGACCTCAAAGTTTGGTGAAGGCGTTGCGCTGCAAACGCCGGACATCAAGTAGCTGCAGTTGCCCATAAAACTGTACTTTCGCTTGTCGAAAGTCGTGTAGTGTGGATCACTCGTGGCAATGCACGTGGATGCGTCTGCAGAGAATTACCAAAAGTGTAAGACCATCATAGCAAGAGACCAACATTTTATGATTATTATTTTTTTTTTTTTACAATTTTTGGCCGGGGATTACCTTTTGGGTAGCATCCAGGGATGCCGTTAACTTCACGACACTCTTCAGTGGGATCACAAGAGCTATCCACACATTCAAACGTGTAGTTCCCTGCACAGCGACACAGCTTGGAGCAGCCGTCCGCATACATGATTTGTCCAGGCTAAAGGGACACAAAAGCGATACACTTTGTCAAAGATGCCATGTCATTCTTATCGTTTTGCTCTGAAATTTTGTAGCTTTACTGACCTCGTAATAGTTGCTATTGTGATCCAGGCAACCGCATTTCTCCAGTGGCAGACAGTATTTACCCTTGAAGACAAACCCTGGTTTGCAAAAGCAGCCGCTGATACAGGAGCCGCTGCAATTGGTGGAGGGTTTCATGCAGGTGGGGATACAAGCTGGGCCACATTCGATGTATTCCGAATTTGGTGGGCACTGAACTGTACGGCAAAAATAACAGTAATTAGTTGATCATCAAAAATCAGCAGCCATAGTTCATGTCATTCATATCATCGGGTTTCAGAACAAGTTGTGATTTACTTGGTGTCGTCATTCCTGGAGTTGTTGGTTCAGGTGTAGTTGCATTAATCCAGTCTGGAGTTGTTGGTTTTGGTGTAGTCCATCCTGGAGTTGTCATGTTTGGCGTAGGCACTCCTGGAGTTGTTGACTCAGGTGTAGTTGCTGGTTTTGGTGTAGTCCATCCTGGAGTTGTCATGTTTGGCGTAGGCACTCCTGGAGTTGTTGACTCAGGTGTAGTTGCTGGTTTTGGTGTAGTCCATCCTGGAGTTGTCATGTTTGGCGAAGGCACTCCTGGAGTTGTTGACTCAGGTGTAGTTGCATTAATCCAGTCTGGAGTTGTTGGTTTCGGTGTAGTCCATCGTGGAGTTGTCATGTTTGGCGTAGGCACTCCTGGAGTTGTTGACTCAGGTGTAGTTGCTGGTTTCGGTGTAGTCCATCCTGGAGTTGTCATGTTCGGCGTAGGCACTCCTGGAGTTGTTGGTACAGGTGTAGTTGGTCCTGCTATCAAAGAGAGTCTATTTAGATCAGAAAACCAGTAATTCACTGGTGTCTTGAATGCTGCATTTAAGTGGAATAGCCTCGTGAATGAAATCAGCAGTTAAGATTGAGTCCGTCAGTACTGTATATTGTTGAGGGCAGCGGAATATCTGATGCTTGCTTGCAATCCCAAAAAAAAAATAAAATCAATCAAGCATGGCTAAGAACTCCCAAAATAAGGTGGAGACCTCGTAAGTCAAAGTACCACTAGATATATTTTGATGAAATGGTGAACAATTTTAAGAAAGCTATTGGACTGATCTTTGTCACCAGCACTCATCATTAATTTTATGAACTGAATTTCAAGGCACAGTCAAAGCATAAAGTTCCCTTACAAAAAGGGCAGTCACCCAAGAGGGCCCTGAGAGTCGAGCCAAGAATTTTAGACAAACATATTCTTTGATGATGTCCAAAATTACCTGGCTATTTGAATTTTTTTTTTCCCATTGGTTCAATGAAAGAGAAAGCTTGAAAAAAATGAGCTGACCTGTGGGATAGCAGCCCAGCTCTCCCCCCTGGACTTGACACTGGTGCATTGGGGGGCATTCAGATGCCCAACAGGTAACGGAGGGTGCATCACACCGACACTTCGCACTGCAGTTCCCAAGATAGAACTCCTCTCCGGGCTGACACACAGGCACACAGAGTGGATATATGAGTTAGGTTTCGAGGTGTATTTCACAGTCCGAGTGTTCCGTGGTTTGTCCATCTGACAGTACCTGGTAATATTGGCCATTAGTGTATTTGCAGCCACACGAAGAGTTGGTGACACATTTGCCGGCACTCAGGATGTAGCCGGGATTACACACACAGGACTCGGTGCACGGTCCGCTGCAGGAGGGGGGTCGGCCTGCACACGTGTCCTGACAGGGGTCCGCACAGGGCTCGTAATGGCTGTTGGGAGGGCAACCAAAAGCTGCGCAGAAGGTGAGATGGCTCAAGTTAGAAGCGTGTCTTTCGAATCAATGAAGATCTGTACACATTCAGAGAGAAGGCGACAGAGTCCCACGTAAACATCTGTAGTTTTTACTCACGACAGAAGGTTTCGTTCCTCCAGGGTCCAATATTGACCCCACGATCCTGGCACTCATTGACGTAGGCTTCGATGGCTTCACACAGAATGGAATGAGCTCCATCAAGCACGCAAAGGTCAAAGACACAGTCCTTGAAATACTCCTGAACACACGACCAACACGCGATAACCCATCGACACAAGCGTAACTCAAAATTCCAATTTTAGGGCGCATGCTCGGTCCAAGGACGAGTGACTTACATTGGGGTTGACCTTAGCGTGACACATGGCAAAAGGACCATTTTTGTCCAGCAGGATGCCACAATATCCGGAGCTCTCATAGAGCTTCTGCTCCTCTGCCTCACATTCGGGATGAGTGGTGTTGGGTTTCTTGTTACACCTTGTGCAAAAGGAATTATGAAACACAAATTAAACACAAGACAAATTCATCATCTGAAATAGTCCAACAGACTTTGAAGACTTGGCATAAATTATGTCGAAATTAAGGGTTAGACTCACTCTGGATCAATGTTCCAGCTGTTTCCAAACTCATTGGGACTGGAAGTCAATGATCCATCCATCTTGCGGAAGTCGTCTTTGGCATCTCCATCGTAATCTCCACACAGTCCACAGAGAAGAGTTTTATAGCTGCGGGAGTAAGGTTACAGGACCCTTCATTCCTGAACTTGTAGGGTACTACTCAGACCCCATCGACAACATGTGTTCAGGTTGTACTCACTCTTTAATCACTTTGATGTCCATAAAGTGGTTTCCGTCATAGCGCACAGTCACACCAAAATTCAAGGAGACGGTGTAGTGCTTTCCTGATTTGAACACAGAGACGCCTGGAAACGGATTCACTGGCAAGTTTACTTTGATTCCATTCACCTGGATGTGAAAAGCAGGTAAGACTCATCATGGAGCAGGCAGGGTAGGAAATGAATTAATTTGGTTTAAGTCTTGACGACATTTCTGTCATCATTTCTTACATGGACAGCGCCGCCTTTGAAAATGGAGACACCACCGGATTCGACATACACATGAACCGCCTTCACATAGGAGATGCTGGGTCTGTTGTAGCGATTTTCGTTGTCAGCGTAGACAGCAAAGTTTGGTAATGCAGATGCATTGCAGACTCCGGTCATCTGGTAACTGCAGTTGCCCATGAAGTTGTACTTGCGCTTGTCAAAGGTCGTGTAGTGTGGATCCCCGGACGCGATGCACGAGGAGGTACCTTCAGGGAAGACAAGTTTGGCTCACAGATGACCATTTTAAAGACCACTTGTACAAACTAAGAAGTTGGAAGTCACCAGTGGATGACTTTTTGAAGCATTACCTTTCGGGTAGCATCCAGGGACACCGTTAATCTCGCGACACTCCTCCGTGGGATCACAGGTGTTATCCACACATTCCAAAGTGTAGTTCCCTGCACAGCGACACAGCTTGGAGCAGCCGTCTCCAAATACGATCTCTCCAGGCTAAAACGAGAGGAGATAATTTGGTGAGGTGAGACTTCCTTTCTTCTGAACACAAGTCGAGGTTTGGTATACTATCGTGACCTCGTAATAGTTGTTGTTGTGATCCAGGCACCCGCATTTCTCCAGTGGTACACAGTGTCTCCCTTTGAAGACAAATCCCGGTTTGCAAAAGCAGCCGCTGATACAGGAGCCGCTGCAGTTGGTGGAGGGTTCCATGCAGGTGGGGATACAAGCTGGGCCACATTCTATATATTCCGCATTTGGAGGGCACTGAACTGCATGGGAAAAGCGACAGCAGCTTTGGGTGAGTAGCTATGAAGGAGCTGTTGTGTTAGGGTTTTACCAAGATAACATACTTGGCTTTGGTGTCGTCGGTCTTGGAGTTGTTGGTCTGGGTGTTGTTATATCTAAGATGTCATCGACATTCATTGTAAAAAATGCATGACAGCATTTTTTTTCATGGGTTCAATGAAAGAGAAAGTTTGGAAAAAATTATCTTACCTGTGGGATAGCAGCCCAGCTCTCCCCCCTGGACTTGACACTGGTGCATTGGGGGGCATTCAGATGCCCGACAGGTAACGAAGGGTGCGTCACACCGACACTTCAGATTGCAGTTTTCAACATAGAACTCCTCTCCGGGCTGAAACACACACGCGCGCCAAGTAGATATATGAGTTAGGTCTCGAGGTGTATTTCAAAGTCCAAGTGTTCCGTGGCTTGTCCATCTGGCAGTACCTGGTAATATTGGCCATTGGTGTATTTGCAGCCACACGAAGAGTTGGTGACACATTTGCCGGCACTCAGGATGTAGCCGGGATTACACACACAGGACTCGGTGCACGGTCCGCTGCAGGAGGGGGGTCGGCCTGCACACGTGTCCTGACAGGGGTCCGCACAGGGCTCGTAATGGCTGTTGGGAGGGCAACCAAAAGCTGCGCAGAAGGTGAGATGGCTCAAGTTAGAAGCGTGTCTTTCGAATCAATGAAGATCTGTACACATTCAGAGAGAAGGCGACATAGTCCCACGTGGCGCCCGAGTAGGCAGCCATCTGCAAGTGCTCTCATGAGCCTTGCTTTTTTTTGTTGTTTTTCTGTTTGTTTTGTCACTTTGTGTTTGTTGTTACGTCGTGTGGACCTGATGTGGACTGTTTTCAGCAATTTTTGGCCACGACATTCATCAAGGAGGAGACTCGGTGCTTGGTGGTTTTGCCTTCTCGGCAGCATGGGTATGCCAGCACTGTTTTTGATTGGGAGGAATGTCGGCGCCATTTGA